CCCCTACACACACACACACACACAGGTTAACACGTATATCCATACAATGATATATGCTTTCCTCAACATGTGCCGTTAAATTACTCATTCTTCTTTCGATTTCCACTAAGCTTATTACAGTGATTCTTAAAGTATCCAAAATCTATTTGTGACTGGATTGGAAGGTAGAATATAAGTTATGTTAAGTATGTTTTACGTTACATTGCAGTAGCCATATTTGTCACTTTTGGCAGAATATAGTATACATATAGTATACATGTAGTATACATAATATGTATTACACCCACTACGACTGTTAACAATAGCTGTGGCAATTGCTACCATCTTTGTTTACATTTGAAATACAAGCAATTATTCAACATAGGTCAACATTGGTTTATTTCAGATAGCACAGTGGCTATGCAGTGTGGATAAACATAGTATGGACATATGTCATGGTAAGCTGTTACAATGATTGTATTGTATACAGATATAAACATTAAGTTTTACCTAAAACGCGAGTGTATAGTGCATAACCTGACATGTACTTGTCTGACGTGTGTACATATTTATTTACATTATGAGATAGGACGAATAATGTACTACCTGTACAGGTAGCAAATAAGCATACGAAACTACGTGAATTGCCGAGGGATATTCTTTCCTGTTTTGTCGCTCCTCCCCTTCCCCTGAAACATTATGTATTTTGGTTCTGTGTTATAAAATAAACGATCAAAATTTGCGTTGCATACATAATCTTAAAATGTGTTAGGCTAACGTACATGTAGTTTAACTCGGCTTATATTGTTAATGTTAATGTAAAGTATTTGTTAGCTAGGATACCTTTTAACTTTTGTTCATTTGTTGACAGGGTGCCAACGTGCAAAAGGAAGTACAACAAGGAGAATGTCCTTCACAACCAAAAGGTTTATACTTACATTAAATGACGATTAAACTGTTTAAAAGTCTTTATATTTTAGACGAAGACAAAGTTATACACCTCAACTCGACTTTCAGTTAAGCTCCTGTAATAATATAAGCAGCTGTTTGCGACCAGGAAAAGGTATTTTATATACAATAATAAAATACATATATATTTTAGAGTAATCATGGTTCCTGTAATTTTTTTGCATGTATGTTTAATATGTAAATTCTTCATTATTGATAATAGATCATTCCTCTTTTTCCAAAGATGTGTCTGCTATTTTTGGGACGGGACCAGATTGTCCCGATGTAAACACTGTCAAGGAACAAACAAAAGACAACGAGCAGGTAGATACATTCCTTTTCCCCTTTTAAGTTCTAAATATAAGTCCAAAGATATTGTCTAAAATCAAGCATGCTGAAACTGATTTCACTTCTCATGAAAAACAAATTGAGACATGTTGTTCAAATACACTTTATACGTGTATTTTTACCTGTATCTTTTACTGATGGAGATTTCTTCTTTAGGTTTTCAAGAATTATGGTGGCCACTAATGGCGCTATCTGTATCAATCAAGTAGACGTGTATCTTGTTTAATGATAAACAAATTAGTATTTATTACCTACATTTACAAACTGTCACTATATTTTGTATCCTGTCTACGTTTACATGTCATTTAGATTAACGTCGAACCTGAAAATAAATTAGCGGTATCCGAAGGAAGAGATCAACATGAATTACTAGAAAAAGATGGTAGACAGGGGACCCCCAGATATGACGCTCCTAAAGTTTATTCCAAAGGTGAAGAACTGATACTTGTATCCTTCAAGAGAATAGTATATCCCATGGTTGTTTCTTTCAATTATTAGATTGGTCAAGAGTTTCAACCGGATCGGCATCTATGTGCGGTTGTCATCATGATCTGATTTCAACTTATGATTTTTCAGCGTCTACCGTAATATAATACTTGTTCGTTTTGCTTAGATCGTTGGTGAACTATAAACTATCTTGGATCGTTGGTGAACTGTTAACTATTTTGGATTTTAAAGTAGACACCGTGATTGATGAAACCTGCAGTGTGTTTAACGCTTAACCTTTTGGAGCACATGCTTTCTGTATTTGTTCGTGTGTTTGGTAATGATGTCTTTCCGTTAACTTTGGTGCTCCTCTGTTCCTGTTGTTTTCTTTTAGTTTAGTATTTATCTCTGTGTAATAATGATACAGTGTTTTTCAATTTTACTTAACATTGCTTTAGGGACTTCCAAATAGAAACTCGACTTCCTGCTACATAACATCGTTGATACAGGTAAATACTTGTTTAATGTTCTTCTATTCTAATTTCAATTTTATTCACAAAGTTATCAACAGTGGATCAGAATACAGAACGATTTAGTTATAACTTTGTCTTTAAGTGTAATGCTTGGTTTCTACATAACAAGTATCAACTGATAAATCGTGTTTATCCTTTTTGTCTTAGAATAGTTGCTCCATCATTCCCTTTACATTCACACGTAATTCGATATCTATGAAATGCAGGTGTTGGCGCAAACTCCCGGACTGATGGAATGTTTGTTGAGTTATAAACAGGTAATGCTTGTTCTTTGATATATGGTAATTATTGATGCATATTTGGATTTACATAAATACATTATTATCATAAATATGATGTTATGAAAATGTTCACATACATAAATAAGATTCATGTTCTCATCCCGAAATGAAAAAAGCGATCCACTATGTAAACACCAGACGTATATATGAAAAAGACGCGGCATGATATAATATCGTATACTTCCGATGTGTGTGTTACCTGTCGTGATATTGGTATAACTGATGTATATTATGACATATATGCATTGGTTGGTGGTGAATTTCCTTATACAGAACCGATGAAAGTTTTACTGTTATTAATAGTATATTATTTTTAAAGAAATCTTGTATTGCTGAGACACTGATCAATCTGTTCTGCGTGGTAAATGACGTTCAGGATCCACACGAAAACGTTGCAGATGTTCTGTGCTCACTTTTAAGGGACATCCAGAACAAAATGGCTGCAAGGTAAGTCTTAATACTTTGTTTTTTAAAAAAATTCACATTTCGGACGCACCACTACAGTAAAACAAATCATGAATGGGCCATGCTCATCCCTCAGTGTATTCTTTTAACACTGAGAGAATATTTTACATTTTATACTAATGAAGGTCACAAAGCATACATGTATACATTGAAGATTCTAAGTTAATATTTAATTACTTATTGTTCGTATAAAATAATATCTCTCTTTTTTTTCTGACAGAGACGATTCTTACAGTGAGGGTATTCAAAACGACAGCCACTGCTTACTCCTCTGCTTATTAAATGCCCTTGACGATGAAGAGAGAGACGGTAATTTTTATGAACTTTTAAATACCGACAAAATCACCATGCAGCGTTTTATATGTAATATCACTCTTTCTGATATAAGCTTTAATGTCCGTTCAATATACTTGATGCATTTAGAATGGTTGTCTTTTTGGTGTTTTCAGGATTATACATATTTGATGGACAAATGAGAAATAGTTTTACATACTCGAATTGCAGTCATGTGAGTAAATATACCAACTATTAATAATTAAACATATTAAATTATGAAATACGTCATCAATCACTGAAGGTCATTTCCAATTAGAGATACAGGAAGCATCGACTTTGAGTTCCGAAATGTTGAAGCTGGTAGTTGGATTTGTCCTATTCTTATCGTCACAATTAAGTATCAATTAAGTGAAAGATAATACAAGTTGTACGTCAATTTGACTTACTCTTAAGCTATATGTGAATTATTTATGTAAGCTTGCACGACTAAGGCATCTAATAATAACCCTTTATATATTGTTAATTGGTCTATACACAATATATTTCTTGTGGTATCGTATACAAAATGTTTACATGAGCGTCTTGCTTTTCGGGTTCAATGCAGGTAGAGGAATCGGCACTAGAACCTTTCAAATCACTTCCAATGTCCGTTAACAACAAACTGGTAAGTGCAGTTGTTGTACATGCACTATTTTTGTGAAAGTCTTTTTTATTTATATGATAGCATTAAGCGTTGCTTTCTATTAATCTCTTTTAATCAAGTTTGGCGATATAGAAATTCTATGAATGTTATTTTACTTGCTTCTTATATAATCTATTCCTGCTTGACGTTATTTACTTAATGTTGATAACTACAACATTTTGATTTGGATTCCATGTTGTATCTTTAAAGAGTACAGTGGAAGACAGTATTATGCATATGATCAGTGTCGATACTTTCTACGATTCCGATATTCCATGTCGAAAATGCATCAAGGAAGGTCGCCATTCCCAAGGTTTTGTAATACTGTTAGTTATTTGCTCTTAAAATAAAATACTTAATCCACACCCGTTAATCATTTAATTCCAGTTTTGATTTTTTTGTAATTTTCACTGAAGAAAGATTTTTCAAACGTTCCTTTATTGAGACTAGATTAAAGATTGCCGGGTAATGTCGTATGTTTACTTTGCAGATACTGTAACCGAGAAGAGGCTCATCATAGTGGTTGCCCCTGAAATTCTCGTTCTACAACTGTCACGCTTTCACCAAGTAAGTTTAATAAACGGATGGTGAATAAGTTCCTAATTTATTGGATTTTACGACGAGTTTTGTGAAATTTGAGATACTGTTTACCCAAACTATGAGATAATCCATTATATCTATTATAAACCTTTTTACATGCATAGGTGTGGGCGTCTGGTGACAAACTATGCACAAAAATGGAGAAGTATGATGGACATGTTCAGTACTCGTCTACCCTCTCGCTACCAGTAATACAAAAGGTAACTGACGTTGACAAGACTTTCAGAATAGTTTTGTTTTAAGCTTGGAATGATTGTTAAATAGGTTTAAACAATTTAAATTTTATTGATTAAATAATGACGCACATTTTAGACCAAAACTAATACATTTGTCGGTTTGATACCTAGGATGAAGATGACCATACAGGATGTGCTGTAACGTATGAACTGTATGGCGTCATCTGTCACGAAGGAACCATGGAGAATGGACATTATTGGTGCTACGTGAAACAGAATGGATGGGACAAAGCTCATCCGTATCTTTGGCATCTTTGTTCTGACTCGTACGTCAGGAGGCTTGAAATAAATGAGGAATGGCCTGACTCACCATACGCGTATTTACTTTTTTACAAACAATGCATGAAAGAAAAAGGATAGAAGAGACTTTGAGTTATAATTCTTTTGGTTTAAGATTTCCATGACCAAACTGTTTTTGATCGCTTTCTTCCGATTTCTACGAATATGTATCTCGCAAAGTCATAAATGTGCATTTATGTTAAAAATGTAAGGTTACTGTTACTTTACAGGTTGATCTTTGTATACTGAATTACCCGTGTAAGCAAAGATAAGTAAAACATGAGTTGACGCTTAAATGTCAGTCGTGCTATTGTAGATATTTTGTTGACGAGTTTACATTCGGAATAAAAAAGTAAACGCTTTCGATTTTATTGTTATTTAATCTTGTGCAGTTTAATTAAAAGTCCTAAAAGAGACAAATATTTTACAATATAATAAGGACATACATTGTTTAAATGATGACTATATATAACCACTAAATAAGCAATGGTTATGAAGTAAATGTAAAAATACTGCAAATATTAGTACCAATCTAATTTCAACAGGCAGTTATAGGGACAGTATATGAACGTCATTGGAATTTCAGAAAAAATGCATGAAAAATATGTTATTTCAACATTGGTCTTAATAAGCATACTGTCATATAAAATACAAAATTGATGAAGTTCTTTTGAGATGCTCGATCTTGTGGTAAAAAGTAACATATTTGACAAAAAATGTCAATCACATAATTTCATGAACCACTCAAATACAAACAAAAATATGTTGACACTTGGGAATATTTTCCTTTTTTATTCCTACACGACAGAGTAATATCATATCATATCAAAAATGGTTTTAGTTTACCCCTATAACTGAAATATCAGATATTATTACTAATTACGTTTTCACAGATACCAGCGAAAACTATAAATGTCGTATATTTGGCTACAAGTTCCCGACTTTTATTTTGACTGCCGCCCTTAAATAGGTATATGGCAAATCCCACAACTAATCATACAAATCAATAAAAAAATTCAATCAATTTCATCTAGCAAGTGAAAAAGTCGAACTCTAAACCCCGTGATATTTACCAGTAGCTCGGAACTTGATTATCAAACCAAGATTACAACACACACGTTTCATTGATAATTGTTCTCAGAGTTCATATATCAATGTCCATTGCATAATCAAATTAGTAACACTTAACCATCCATACGCAAAGGCAATGAAAAATAGTGCAAGTAAATCGAGATAGAAACGATACCCCTTTTTTTGAGCGCTTTTGTAGTTTTCACGAGCCCATGATTTGCCATCCTTCAGGAAGTAAACAACAGTCTTGTACAGTGTACTTTTATGAAGGGTTATGTAAAGATAATTCGTCCTACTTTCAAAATATTTATTCTGGTATATTTATTCCCTTGCTCAATTTAAAGGGCAACAGAAATGACAAAACTGCAATTTAATATTTTTTTAACCACACAGTTACAAACGGTGCTAGTTAAACTGATACAGGAATGCAACCATTGTTTTGTACTTTCGTTAGGATTTGAAGCAACTGATGTTGAATATCTCATCACATTTATGTTGTTTTAATTGTGTTGATTTTTTTTTTATCGAGAAATGCGCATTTTTTGTTGTTTGTAAATGATTTCTTATAATACCTTTCCTCGTCATAATATTATTACCCTGTCTATTTTAATTCTTAGCTGCTTGATTCTGAACACTTATCATAATACATTAAACGTTGAAAAAGATATCAAACATATGAGTTTTAATTGATGAGTTTCGCTTGGTAAATATTACACATTTAAAGTTACTCATAACAATGAAATTATTAAACAGGTGGTTGCATATTCATTATTTGCTATGTTGTTAACTCCTTGACGATTGAAATGTACAAAACGAATCAACATTGATAAGTAAGCCTACTTCAGAGCAATGAATTTTGATATCTGATAAAGTTCAAACGTTTTTTTAGAACGTGTCCTACTCTATTTGCTGGTACACTCTAAATAAAACATACTTAGCATTCAGTATTTATAAACAAACACAGTAAAGTTCCACTGTAAAGCGTATTTGAGTACGTGAACATAAACTCTGAATATATTTCAAAGTGAAGGATATTTACAGTCTATCTCCTTCTAGATATTTTCTGTTTTCACTCTGGTCCAATAAACACTGTTTCATATATAACCATACGTTTATCTACGAGGTACATCTCATTCGTTAAACACAATTATCAAAGGTTTGAAATATATACAGGCTCCCGCTGTGTCAGTTTGTAAATTATAATTTTCTATATTTCAGTATTTTATTACTGACGATAATTTAATGCATGTAGGTTCATTAATA